TGGCAAGGAGCTGCAACTACAATCCCAGAGGCGCACAGTTCGAATTCACCAGATGCTCTGCCGGGAAAGGAGGGACAATCTCCTCCTGTACCAGTCAGATCTGATTTGACGGTACACGCACACAAAAAGAATAAAAAATTAAAAAAAAAAAGAGTGTGATCAGCGAGATTGAGGAAAATGGATGTATAGGAAGGAAGACAAACAGGGGCAATTGGTACTTAAGAAAATGGAAGGAATGTGCAGGCACACTTTAACTTCAGTTGGAGTGCTGGTCATCATGAGAACTAGTACTCTGGGAGAGCAAGCATCAGGCATTTAGACTTGCTCTCTTGTTGTTGGACTTGCTCTGGTAGCACATAATGCAGGGAAGACCTGCTCTGTATACTGAAGGAGAGGTTATTCACTTCTCAGCGACGTTTATGACCAAGCAAGATGACATTGGATGTTCTGAGAATTTTCAAGGCTTATTTTTTACTTTGTAATATCACTTCTCTCAGTTCCTGTGACCTGAAGTATACAGAAGGAGTACAGTCCCTCAACTGGACTAAAATTATGAAGACCATTGTTGATGATCCTGAAGGTTTCTTTGAACAAGGTGGCTGGTCTTTCCTGGAGCCTGAGGGTGAGGTGCGTGAGTGCGGGGTTTCTGTCCTGGTTGGTACGGTGTTTACCCCTGTCATTTGGGCAGCACATAAAGAATCAGATTTTATTACTGTCCAAATTGGTTTTATAAGAAAGTGATTGGACATTGGTACTCACTGACACAATTTCTTTTCAATTACAAAAACTATCATCTTAATGAATTTCTAAGCATTCGGAAAAGATTATTTTCATTATTACCAAAAATCCCTTTCCTGGATGAGAAAGGATAAAATGAACCTTTGATAAAAAATAATTAGAAGATAATAACAGGAGGGAAAAACATTTGTGTTTCATTGCTTAGAACTCCATTTTTACTTTGTAACTGACCAGTAATTTTTAATATATTCTTTAGTTTGATCATCACTCATGATTTTTTTCCATGTAAATTTGTAGTACTGGTATCCTAAAGGGTTGAATTTCATTTATTATGTTAACCAAGTGAATGTCAAGGAAGAAAAATCAGTATTATGTTCTCTAACTCACCAGGGGAGTGATGCTGAGGATGGGGATTCAGAATCTGAAATTGAGGATGAGACCTTTAATCCTTCAGAAGATGATTATGAAGAGGAAGAAGAAGACAGTGATGAAGACTATTCATCTGAAGCAGAAGAATCAGGTTAAACATTTTAAAGAAAAAGTTTATATTAAGGAAGCTCTGGTGGCCTAATGGCAAGAAGCTGCCCTGCAGTCCCGAAGGTGTGCGGTTCAAATCCACCAGATGCTCTGCTAGAGAAGGAATGGCAAACTCCTCTTATGCCAGTTGGATCCAATTTGACAGTACACCAAATTTAAAAAGAAAAAGTTTATATTAGAAAGCCATTATAAACAGTTTTCGGAAGGGAAGAATTCCATTCTTTTCTTATCTAATGACTTAAATTTTATTCCAGACTATTCCAAGGAGTCATTGGGCAGTGAGGAAGAGAGTGGAAAGGATTGGGATGAACTGGAGGAAGAAGCTCGAAAAGGTAATTTTTTCATTTTTAAGAAGGGGAGGAACTGGTTTATTTCGACGCGAGTACAAATTTCTCCACACTTTTGTATTTTGAAATATTTTCTCTCATTACTATAGAGTTCAAACCAATTCATAGTTGGCATTGAGTTTCGAAAGCTGCAAATTGCACTAGAGGTATTGTCTGTCTCCCAAAAGAACCACTGGTGGTTTAGAGAGGCATAGTCTTCAGGTTAGCATAGCTCCTATGAGTAAGCTAATAGGAGTAAATGGAGTTATTGTAGTGCGTTTGTTAAGCAGTTTTTTTGGTTACCAAAAAGTTAGAGGGTGTTCTGGTGGCCTAGTATATAAGAAATCACACTACCAGTCCCACATCACCAGCTGCTCCACTGGAGATGGGCAGTCTCCTCCTGTGTGATTGATTTACAGCCTCTGGAAACTCACTGGAGGATTAGCTACGAGTTCCTACTTGACAGCACATGGCAGCAACACTCAAAGTTTGGCAGTCCCAATTTACCAGTGGTTGTTGAGGTAAAAGACCTAATAATTTTCTATAAAGATTACAACACCGGAAATCCCATTAGGCAGTTCTTCTCTTGTCCTATAAGGTCATTGTGAGTCAGAATCAACTCAATGACACAAAACATTAAGGATTAACAAAATCAGACTCATGTGAACAATAGCGGAAGGTAGGAAAATAACTATCAACAGATGAATGAACAAACAAAATGTAGTATAGCCATACAATGGAATGTTACACAGTTCTGGTGCATGCCACAGCATTGAATCAGCCTTGAAAATGGAGTAGTTGTGCTTCTAAATGTTTTGGGTTTTGTTTTTTTGCTTTATCCTCTTTATTAATTTTTTTTTAATAATTTTAATGAACATTTACAGAGAATTTGGATTTCCATTCATTCATTGCTGCACTTCTCTACCCGCCCAGCCCTCTTCCCCCTCCCCCCAGTTAGCGCCTCTCAGATGTAAAAGAAAGACTCCCTCCCCGGTGCACAATCCCACCGCCCCAAGTACATTCCACTATGCAACCTTAATTGTGGACTCTTCCAAATGTTTTTATGTATATTTTTCACCACAGTAGAAAGAAAAGCTTATTTGAAACCACAGTTACTACTTCATTGACCAAAGGAAAAGAAGAGTGAGACCTCAAATTTGTCTTAAGTAGGCATTGGTTATAAGCAGTTCCCCAAGCATTTTGCAGCGTCCCTTTACTTAATCATAAAATAATTTTCTATGTTGTAAATTAATAAGCTCAAGGGAGTTCTAGTGACCTAGTGTTAAGAAACTGTGCTGTACTCCCAAAGAAAGGTATACGGTTCCAGTCCACCAGCTAGCTGCTCCATGGGAGAAGGATAAGCAGTCTCCTTCTGTGCAATTCACTGCCTCCGGAAACCCGCTGGATGGTCATGTACAGTACACCACAAGACTCAGAAGGTTACATTCTTGGAAAAGGCCTCATATCCATTAACACGTAGCTCCACACTTTTAAATTGACAACTGTGCTTAGAAACTTTTTTTCCTCTCGATGTATTACCATCATTTGTTGCAATGTGTTAAGTGCCTGAGTTAATTAAATGACTAAAACTCACATCTGATTGCATAGTGCATGCTCTGCACCATTTCATGCCATCTAGTCTTAATGTATGGTAAATAGTTAATTCATAGTGCCTCTTTTTCTTTAGCGGACCGTGAAAGTCGTTATGAGGAGGAAGAAGAACAGAGTCGAAGTATGAGCCGAAAGAGGAAGGCATCTGTGCACAGTTCAGGCCGTGGCTCTAACCGTGGCTCCAGACACAGCTCTGCACCACCCAAGAAAAAAAGGAAGTAACTTCTGAACTTTGACCTGAGCTCCATTCTTCCTCCAGCCAATCCTGAAAATTTTACATGACATAGAAACTGTATTTTTTCCTTTTGTTTTATTTGGAAGTTTTGCCATTTGTGTTTATGGGTTTAGGGGGCCATTTGTGTGGACCAATCTACTCGGGGAATTCCAGGCCCACTAGGACACGTGCCAATGGCCCCATCCAGATGGCAAGGGCAGAGGTGGTCTAGAAGAAGGGCGGAGGCTTCCGCTTTTGATAAATATTGTTTCATTCCTCTCTCTTCCTGTCACCTTCTGCCAGGACATTGATGGCTTCCGACATCTAATTCTCTGGTGTCTTGAAGCTTTATTTCCAAGACACTGGTACAAGGTGACCCTTAACTATCTGTATCATGGTTCTTGACCAGCAGATTCAACCCTTCACCCTACCCTACTGCCATGACCTTCCTCACATCTCTTAAGTTCCATCTTTGTAATACACAAGGAAAGGCTCTTGGAATTGCTAACTGTTGTGATAAATCAGACACTTGAGCTAGTGAGGTAGATTGGGCTGGTGTCTCCATCAGAGTGTGTCTGTTTTCTTGCCTCATGCAGATTCTAAGGTACTTCTGCTGCCTTGGAAGACATAAGAAGCAGTGACACTCCCTGGCTTGGTTTTATCCTCTACAAATTCACAGACACTAGTAGAAGACAGAACTACCACTGTCTCCTTTCTTGTTTGATATGTTATCTGTGGAAGAATAGTCATGCCTCATACTGCTTCTGGTGAAATCTAGAGGTGGCTCAAAGGAGTCAACTTTTTGATCTGGAAGGGGCATGTCATGCCTTGGGCCTAGAATAACCTGATGAGAAAAGAGAAGAAGGGAGGCCACATCTGCAAAGCTTCCCAGCACTGCTACTTCCTTATTTTTACTTGTCTTGCATTGTCTTGTATTTATCATAGTTTCTTTTGAACAGCTTTTTAAGTATTTGAGGAGTTTTGTCTTGCCATCTTCCCCTCCTGATTTTCTGTACCCACCTACCCCACTGCAGCAGTTCCTTCTGTGTTCTGTGACTTCAGAGAAGAGGGGGTTCTTGGCTTTTGTTCATTTGGTTTTTTTCTCCCTAGTTGTAGGACTTGATATTTTCAATTTTGGAAGAACTAAAAGATAAATAAACTGTGGGATTTTTTTTTGTTAGTGTTGTTTTTGTAAATTCACTTTCTATGACAGACTTACTGTGCCTCCTGAAAGCAGGCCAATGCTTAGGCTTCACAAAATGCTTTTATCAGGTAACCAGGTGGAGTGACAGGGTAACTGCCACAATGGGCTCTTGTGTAGTGGGAAGTGTGAGGATGGCAAAAGATAGAACAGGGTTCAGATCTTTTGTTCATCAGGTCACTATGAGTCACACTTGACTCGACAGCACCTAACAAAAACATCACAAATATAACGTCCATCAGTCTTAAGTTTTCTTTGTTAAGAGTTAACCTACACATCACACCAGACCACATTTGTGGTATAGTAAGTTACTTTTTATAAGAGACTTTACTATGGTTCCCTCTGGGTTTAGCATGGAGAAGCATTTGTTCCATCATAAAAAATCTTGAGCCATCTCCTTGTAAATAGCACGGAGAGCAGCAGCAGCTTGAAGGGAAACCTTCAGCCTTCCTATTGGAGTGACTTTGTCTTTAGGACTAACAACTGTTGAGAGAGGGAAAAAAAAAGGTGTCAGTCCCCATCCTTCAATTTAAAAAGCACTTGAATACCTGCTCTCTGTCATGTTAGTTGTCATAGATACCAAATGAATTCAATTACTGTTCCATGGAAGGGGGGAGTTAGTTGAGAGAAAAAGAAATTAAAGGTGATTACAATCTAGTATGCTAAATGTTATGAAAAATAAAAGTTCAAGGACATGTAGAAGCAACACCTAACTTAGAATGAAGGGAAAAGAAAAGCTCAAGGACATGTGGAGGCAGCACCTAATTAAGAATGAAGGAATTAAGAAAGCCTTTCTGGAGCGGCCTTTAAATAAAGCGGGGGGAGGGTGGCGAGGAGACCATTCTAAATATGTGCCAAAACACAAGAACATGCTAGTTTGGAAAATTGCTAGGAATGAAACTGTACAGACATGGAAAGCCAGGATCAAGAAGGGTCTTGTTTTCTAAGGAATTTAGTTTTAAAGGTATTAGAAGTGAAATTCTTATTGGATTCTATAAAAGTTAATACGTGGAAAATATTTGGGAGATGGCCTAAGTAGATCAAGGAAGGGTGGGAAGAGGCTATTAGAGTAATTTAAGGAAGGAACTGTAATAGGGTTCAAAGTATAATTGGAGTGTAGAGACTGTAACTGAATTCAGAATGTTTAAGAAGTGTAAAAGTGGAATTTTGCGATTGCTGAAAGTAAGAGAACAAATCATGCTGGCTTAGATTACAAAGTAGATGATAAGACTGGTTTTCACTAAGAAAATGCAAGGAACATTATACGCAGGGTAGTTCTGAGTATGTAACATAAGAAGTGACATCTGTTTGCTGTGTCTCAGCTTGTTAGTACTCTGTGCAAGTTAAGCTGAATGTTAGATAATTTCTACGTTCCAGTTAAAACCCATCGAGGACAAAAAGGATTGAATAAGATAAAACAATTTACGTGAATAGACCCAGAATCCTCTCTGAAGGAAAGAGAGTGATCATCCAGAGAGTGATTTAGAGAGTAACAATGTCCTGAATTTGAAAATTAGCAAACTGTAGGCGTAAATTATGCAAAGTGCTTGGAATGTAAAGTGTGATCTTAGATGGTACAGAAATAGCAACAGTACTGTGGATTGATCAGCTATTTCAAGATGCTTAGTTTTTAAATGATAGGAGAAAAGACATACAAAGTTATAGAGAGATGTTTTCAAAAGCAGATAAACATGTTTAAACTCTGTGTAACAGAAGCCATAATTGGGAAATTGTTTTTCTTTTAGCAACTAAATTAAAATTGAAAAGCATTCATTGGTTTAGTGATTCTGAAACCACTAGAAGACTTAAGGACTTGTTCCTTAAGTATAAAAGGTATGAAGACTTGGAAAAGTATAACATATTTCGACAAAAGGCCTTGAGACCAGAAATTAGGAGTGAAAATTGTAGGAGAGCAAGAATAGCTAATAGTTGGCACTTAATGATGGGCACTGCCCTGATCACTTGAGCTGTGTTAGTCCTTTAACCTTCAACTATGAGGTAGGAACTGCTATTCCCATTTCATCTTAAAGGAAGTAGAACAAATAGGATAAAATAGCTTGCCCTAACTCATGGTTGGAAGAGAAGAGAATGAATATAATGAATCTTCAAGATTCAGGGAGCTTTTTAAAATTATTTTTTACGTGTGTACCGTCAAATCATATCTGACTGGTACAGGAGGCGATTGTTCCTCCTTCTTCAGAGCATCTGGTGGATTTGAATCACACACCTCTGGGATTGCAGTGCAACTCCTTGCCACTAGGCCACCAGAGCTCGCCAAGGAGCTTTTTAAGCAGTGTTCTTCAGTTAGTTATTGGTCAGGGTTTAAATACTTTTGTGTACAGAGTTGCTCTACATTGGGCACCTAATAGCACATTTATATGTAAATAAAGCAACTTTTCATGATACTTAACTGTGTAGTGTACTCATACTTTGTTTTTTAATTTCAAATACTGGTTCTAACTTAATTTTATTTCAACTCCCAATAAATTGCCTGCTGGAGTGAAGCAGAAAATGAAGTCCCAGGTGGGTGTAGGGGTACAGTGGTGAGGACTGAAACCCCCCTTAAAAGACATTCAAATACAAACATTTTAAAAACATGTTGATTTATAGCAAATTGTCTACCAACTTTAAGAATATTCTAATTCTGAGAAAATAGGATAAGACAAATTAGTGGCAGGAACATTCTGAAGAATGGTTCAGACTAATTGAGAAAATAAATTTATTTCGAATGTCTAGTTCAAGAGACTAGGTGTTATTAACTGCCTTTACAAACTTAAACACTTCTGGTATTTAAAATGAATAAAATTAAAAGAGCCTATCTAAAAAATTCCTTCTCAGATATTGGTGATTCTTAAGATTCTAATTGTCTTTAGGAACATAGGTAAAAGAAGAAATAACTAATGGCTGGTCTAGATAAATACAAATATTGCAGTTAGAATAAAATTTCAGGGTTTTGTCTCATCAATTCAGTAACAGCAGTGCTAATTAGGTACAAGGAAAATATGTATTATTAGGTTGAGGTCCTTACTTAAAGGTAAGTGAAAGAAAGAAGAACAATTTTGTGTTACTCACTGTCCAGCTCTTGTTGTGGAATGTCTTTTCCAGATTTTAGGATCTGCCAGAATTCAAGATATGCGTATCCTACTTCTTGACATTCTTTCTTTTCTTCGTCCATAGGATCACTCACCACCGTAAACTTGAAACTAAAGGGCAAACAGGTTTAACTTAACTCTTGGGCTTCAAAAATAGAATAAAGATAAAAACAATCACAAATTACAGAGGGTTTTTCTGCCTCCATTTTCTACAGTGACAGAAAAGTGAAGAATCTGTTTTGAACAACAAACACTAAGAAGATGGAACTAAGACACTTGAGATGCCAAAACTATCAAGATAGAGTCGTTGACAATTTTAGTGAAAGATTTTACATGGACATTGGAGGTTGAATTAGAGTTTAAAATCTGAAGCACTTGTAAAAAGACTGAGGTCTGCAGCAAATTCCTATGTATCAACTGTTGATATTTCTGACACCACTTGAGTTCCTGCTGACTAATAAGCCAATCACTGTGACTTTGCCTTCAAGGAGAGTGGTTCAGAGCAGATCTGAACTGCCAGGCAAGCTTAGAAAAGACCCTGGAGCTTGCCTGGTTGATCTTAATGATTCTCAGGAGTTACAGTTCCAGCCCCTACACAGCAAGCAGGTAGCAGAAACCCTAGAATCAATCAAGCAAGTTTTGGGTTTGGGGTTCTTTTTTAGATTTTACTAAATCAGTTGTGTATGTATCCCAATCCTAGTCGGTATCCCACTTGCAACAGTGATGGGTCAAAACTGTCCAAATCTCAAAAGCTGTGGCCATCATTCAGTGGAATAATGTTGAGTATCAGTTGGTCCCTTAAAACACTCAATGGCAATTCATTATTATAAAAGTCACAAAAGGATTGTGTAATTGGTAAGGATATAAAACTGCATTTCTTGGGGTTGTTTTGAATTTTGAACAATGGTACTACCATGTGCAATCCACCATGCCTCACATGCTATTAGTCAAAATGTAAAAATCCACTGCCATCAAAATTATTCCAACTCACAACAGTCCAATAGGACAGAACAATACCATAGGCTCCAAGTCTAAAGCTTTGCAGGGACAGACTGTCTCATTGTCATCCTGCAAAATGACTAGTGAGTTCAAACTCATTATCCTGCAAAGTGCCTGTTCAATCTTGAGGCTAGCAGCCCAACACTTAACCCACTGTGACTCTGGCTAGTGCCAATCTTGAAAGGAGTAGCCCAGTACTTAGACCGTTTGCCACTAGAGTTCCTTGTTGAGCAGCCAAAAATTACGACCTTAACTTAACCTAGTGAAGATTAATTGTTGTTATGTGCCATCGAGTTGCCTGCGACTCATAGCGACCCTATGTACAACAGCCCTAAACTCTGCTCTGTCCTGTGCCAATCGCACTATCTCCGACACTCCCATCCCAATTATCCCAG